ACCTTCGCGATCGGAGGGGGCGCCGGGGGATTCGGGAGCGGGGGAGGTCGAACAGCCGACCGACGGAAACCCGAGAGCGAGACGGGGAAGGGTTTCAGGGACGACAACGACGAAGCGATGAAAAGGGACTGACCGTATTGAGCCATTTATAGGGGTCCGAACCCGAATTCGTGTGGGATTGAGATGGATCGAAACGGACGGATTAGGATGGATTTGATCAGTGGGACCCAATCTTTTAATTATATTTATATTTTTACTTGTGATTGAAGACAAATTAATTAATAAGATAATATTCTAAAATTGATGGATAAAGATCGGACGACTCCCTGTAACCCTGATCTTTATCCAGATTCGTGCAAGACTTGATTTATATGGAGATTTAGTTTATGCGATCATTTACGAACTTTCACCTATATTTATATGTTGAGTGATATACATTCTTTAAGATTAGTAAATAATAGATTAATATTTTGAGACTTAAGTAAATAATGAATTAATATCTTTCTAAAAATGCATCTGTCCTATAAACTAAGGATTGTTATCACTCCTCTCTCTAAATTTTACTATCTCTGCATGACTACCTCTGCCAAGATTTATGTGCAGGTCTAATTTTATAATCATTATTAGCATCCCTTTTTTTTCTTGTTATCAAAGTCTAACACCTGAATTTATCATAAGTTTAAAAGAAGTTGAGAGCAAGATTATTTTATGAGATATGCTATAAAATTGTGTTGGGATCATGAATGACAAGAAACCTGTGATAGCTTATGTTAGTTAAATAATTAAAAGATTCAAAGGAAAAATTAGAATTGTATAATCAAGTTGTTTGAGATCGTCTTAAAAACAAACCTAATACTTATTTATAGGAGTCTTTGGTGATCATCAAAATTAAATAAGAAATTATTCGGTGAGACAATGAAGCAAAGTCGTTGCTCATTACTTGATTCTGATTAGTGAACTAATTTGAGTCAACCCTTTCTTAGACTCATCGATTTCTTTCTCCTTCCCTCTTCACTCATTTTCAATCTCTTTTTTTTTCTCCCTTCCGTCCTTCTCTATGTTATCTAGGGATGACAATGGAGGGGACGATAACTAAAGAACGATTGGAGAGTAATAGAAAGAGGGCTAAAAGAAAAAGGAGGGAAGAAAATCAAATCACCCAATTCGACTCGATTTGCTCCGATTTAACAAAAGAGCCAATGGAACCAACCCACGCATAGAGGGTGGCGGTCGACAAAGTTAATGTATTGTGTACCAACCGATTAAACCTATGAAATGTTTGAAATTTTCTCCTTGAATAGACGATGTTAATGGCATTTTTCATCCTGAACTAAGGAACTTGTTTGTATCATATCTATTTATTTAGTATCTAAAGTACACTACCATCTTTTCTTTTTTTTGTTCTTGTGACCAATGATAGAAATGCAGAGGGTTTCTCCCCTCTTGCATACCACATGCAGTCTCAAATTCTGTGATGAACAAGTTGTATTATCCTTGTGGCTCGTAAATGTTTGCCGACAGGCAGTAGCACAAATGACATAAAGTTTGACTCTACTGTCTCTAACTTGAATCCTTGATGTGTTTGCTGAGGCATTTCACCATTGTGAAGTACTATTATTATTTGGCATGCCTTAAGGGTCAAATCTTTTGCTTTCAATTTGTTCTTTTTAACAGCTTTTTCTAGTTATGGATGGCTTTAATTCACATCCAAATTATATAGCTAAAAGCAGGTAAGATCTTCAAGAGGAATTGTATCTTCAGAAAAAGTGGGGAGCTTAGAAAAAGGTAATTCGTTTATGCAAGTAATTTATAATTTATTATTTTGGAAAAACAGGTTTCTAAACAAGCAATTGCAATTCTCCTCACTCTGCCTCATCATACTGTCTGCCATCTTCACTGAAATTAAAAATCAACAATGTGGTTTAGCTGTTAGATCATGAACTGTGACTTCATATTGCTGCTGATTCCTTTACTTGGAGATGTTCCAGTCCCAGCAAAAGCTAGCAAGTTTTAGCATCTTATTCTTCTCACAGTGGTGTCCTTTTGACCTGAGTGTTACAGGAAAGGAGGGTCACTCCAGAGAAGAGAATAAAGCTGGCAAGACACAAATATAGTAGGCTTCCTTTAGGGTATGAAGCACACTTTGCATTGGACTAGGGGTGGACAAAGGGAACCCAACCAAAGTCAAATACCAAGCAAAAGAAAGGTTAGAAACAAAGATTCAATTGGAAATTGTGTAATGGAATGGTGTTCTTGTTATCGACTGGCACATTCTTTTTTTCTATAAAGTAGGAACCTTTGAAGGCTGGCAACACAAAAGCATCACAGAACCCATTGAACCATGCACAATGAACGGCCACAACAATGTCAGCATCACAATAAGTTAATGCGATGGAAGGTGACAAGCGCTGGTAGATGCGATAACTCACAATAAGTTCTGCAATGGAATGTGCAATGGCTTCTCAAGAAAGAAGCCATCAGATAATGAGACTGATGTAACTTCTCAAAAAAAAATATACTTCTTTTTATTCATAATCGTTGCATTACAATTTTTGCCTATAAAAAGAAGAAAAAAAATTTCACTCAAACTTCTCGCATAGTGAGACAAAATCTCACATCAATCCAAAATCTTTTTCTTCGTCTTAGTATTTTCGTCATTATCATCGGCGCATCCTTTTCTTTGCTCTATTGTCCTCGTCGTCATCACGCTCCTATAATCAACCGTTTTGGCATAATATTAGTATGAATCGAGGCATTGGGTAAATAAATTAAAACATATTAATATGAAGAGAAAAAAACGATATTAGTCATGGATCTCTTTGATAATTTCATTATTAAGCCTGATTTTAGATTTGATTTGCGACAAACTTAAGATAAGTGAGTAAATAATTTTAGCCTTACATGTTTAGGTAATATATGAATTGTTCCAAAACCAATAACAAATAAGCTACAATGTTTAATTATCCTGAATAAACTACATATATCTTTTGTCCATACCACAATGTATTTAGTTAAAGTAAAACATTTGAATTTGTTATAATTTTTAATAAAATCAATTTTGATCTCCATTAATATTAATTGCTTCATTTCCACAATTCCTCTTACATATTATGCCCATCCCATGATAAACACAGAACAAGTTCTTGACTTAATAATTATCTCATTTAACTTTTAAATCTAAAAAGCACTTGCTGATCACGGAATACCGCCATGTATGTACGCAAACCTTATCGTAGAGATGTCCATTATTCTCGATTATATAACCTAATGTCATTTGCTTTGATGCATCTCACTACCGCGAGAAAATATCGATCACATATCAAAATAGAGAAATTTGCTAGGAAGCTTTAAAAATCACAAAAATCGACTACGATGCATCCAGCACGACTACCGCGAGAAAATATCGGTCACATATCAACTCTTGCTGTAATTTGAAATCATTCATTCAAGCCCATCTAAATGCTTCGTGGTACCAATATATTCACGACAATTTGATGAACAAAAACAACAAAAATGGTGCGAGACGATGCCTTCTGTTTACTCATGGAGGCCACAGAAAAAACTGGAGAGAGAGCTTTTGATGTCGCCGATCCCATATCTGATAAAAGAGCCAGTGTTACATTATACACAATAACTTAAATTCTAGCACGATTATTATTAACTAATAAAAAGTGGTACTAGGCCAAACAAGCATCGTTATCGAAATGACTTACCTGAGCTTCCAGCACTGCTTGACCTACTGCTTATAACCAGGAAGCTATTGATTGTTTCCCTAAGAGTCACATTTGGGATTAAGTCATCTGCGACCAGATGTTTGGCCCCACAAATGCACATTGATTTGGTGATGATGTGGTCCCTTATGCCTGAGAATAATAAACAATAAAACCGA